TCCTGTCAAAGCTATCAACAGAGAAAGCCCCTCTGTACTTAAATTACTTTTTCACATGCTCTTTATCTTATATATCTCTGACTCTCCTATACAATAAAGTCCTTCCTATTTTGCTGCTGAAACATCTTTCACTTCTGTCTCTATGAATCTCAGCTTTCCTGGGTTTGTGCCACATCTCTAGTCTACTTTAGCCTTTATCAAGTTATCAAAGTTACTTTTCTAACATTACTGATATGAGACATTGCCCTCTACTCAGAAACATACAGGCACATACACATATATTCATGTTTCACGATTGTGGCAGTCTGTAACCAACATCTTCTTTTTTCATTTTTTAAAATTCTTTTCGTATATTTCTTTTCAAATGCTATGTTTTCCATTATTTTCTTAATAATTCCAGCTAGGTCTAATTACCATATTCTATTTATGCTAATAATTATGATCATATTCTTATTTTTAAGTGTATTGTTGTAGTATATTTATACATGTAGGCGTTTCTTAAATAAAAGTTGCAGGAATTTTTAATTTCCTGTAATGTGATTTTCAAAGACTGCAAAAACAGTAAGATACAAAAGCTTTTTAGGGAAATTAAAGAAATTATGTTAACAACCAGGATATATCTTTTAAATCTAGGTAAAATTACTTTAATAATAATAACAAAATAATAGTAATAAAATTATTATTTATTTTTATTATTATAATAATACATTATTGTTAATAAATGAATAAACTATTATTATTCACATCTACTATAAATACCTTTACTGAAAAATTATTTAGGATAAAGCCAGTAGATATCAAGCTAAAGGTTAGCCTACATTCTTTCATATATTTACTTTGAGAGAATGAAAAGATTAAAATTTCATATGAGAAAGGATTTCTTTTTTACTTCAACGGTTTTAGTTTGGTGAATATCTAGCAAATACAGACTTCATAGATTAGTTTAATCCTGCAACTGTGCTCTATTCTGGCTAAAGTAAAATTAAATCAACATTCTCATAGCTAGAAGTAGTCAATATAAACATGTTGGTAGGCATTTGGCTAAAACAGACTTGCTGAAAAATATTGTTTTATTTATGATTAGGAAATTATTTTAGAACAAATTTAATGTCCTACTTTCTATTAATCCATTTGATCTCATTAACCAAAAAACACAGTTCTCTTACTCTTATTGTATTTTAAAAAGAAAAAAAGAAGCAAGCACTTATTTACATTTCCTATAAATGACCTCTTTCCCTCCACAATTGTACATAAAGTGCTTCATTTCACTTAAGTTGTTTTTATATTCATTATAAAATTATTATACAACAGAAAAAGGCCAAGTGGGAAGAATAAGAATATTTTGCTTTATGCGAATTAACAGCATCACTTAATTGATCTCATAATGCGTTATTTAGATCAGCTTGTTAGATAGCTTTGTCGTTTAATATTCAAGTAATAGAAACAATCAGCATGTTTCTGTAACTTATTTTAACCAATGAAAACCTGCTATGGATGTTCTTGATTAGAGTCGATGGTAGCTTTATAACTATATGAAAAAGATTTTGCAAAGAAAATATTTTGCCATTATGTGACTGCAGGCAGGGCTCTTTTAATGTGCCACATATTATTTATACTTATGAAAGAGTACTGCTACCTTTTTCTGTGGACAGCTTTCCGGGTTATATGCAGGATTTTGGGGGCTAAACACAGGCCTCCAGAGCAAACTGTCTTCTAGGAAGGACAGTTATAAAAAGTTAAGAGTTCAGACGTCCCTGGGTAAGAATAGATCTTAGTTCTTTTACTTACTTGCAGCGTAATCTTGGAAGAATTACTCAAGTTTTGTTTTTTGTTTTTTGTTTTTGTTTTAAATAATATAGTCTTGCCGTTTTATTTTTAAAATTGAGCTAATACTACGCTGTCATTATAGCGGTTAAATGGGAACATATATGCAAATCACTTATAGTGCATGACACATAGTAATGTGCTATTTGATATCATTGTCACACTCATCATATCAAATTTGCGAGAAGTTCTGATACTCTTGAGCCATCTATTTTACAACAATGAAATAGCAAATGATTTATTTTGTAAGATACAAATGAATATGCTCTTCATCTTTAGCAGATTTATAGAAGAATGGATATAATGGGTGTTTAACAATGTCACATATGTATATGTACACACAAAAATCCATATATATGATTAGTAAATTTTAAGAAATAATCTTGTACATTTTAAGCAACAAAAAATGTGACTCATGAAGGTCTTCTGAAGAGAGACTTTTTCAGTGTAAAAGCTTAACAGGCAGGAACAAATATAGCTAGTTGTTAGGTGTGTATGGCATATATATTACCCTGACTCTTACATTCTATAGACTTTATTCAGCCTGTAATTTTATGTCATATATGCAGTTTAATTGTTCCTCATGAGAAATATTCCTGAAAAAAAGGAGCATTGACTCCTATGAAGATGGTTTTCTCTTTATAAATGGATTCTGTCTTTTCCTCTGAAGGATAAAATTCAAAATGACAGTACAGAAAAAAGGACTTGACACAAAGGCATGTAACATTTCAAGGGAATTAATTTTTTATTCATGCGAAATGTGAAAGCTCCCTTTTTCTCATGATTCAAAAATATCTCTCACCTGTTATAATTCAGACTGTAGTTCAAATATGCATGTAACACAAGCAGGAAATAATTGATCACAGTAATCTACTTGGTATATTTCTCTGCCATCTCATTTCTCTGTTTATGCTGACAATTCAACATATGTCATGTGACTTTTTTTGCAGCTGTGTTCTAAAAAAATTGGTTTTAGGGATAGATAAAAGAAAATAATAACTTTTTGACTTTTATATTACTTCAAACTAGAAGTAATTTGAACTTCAGATTCTGTCACATCTCTCGAAGAAGTTTTTAATCTTTCTAAGTCTCGGTTTTCTTAACAATAAAATGTGGAATATCTGTACCTTAGAGTGTTGTAAAAGGAAGTGAAATGATAATACGGTTTCTGGCACAGCATGTAAATGCTCTACAACTCCCAGTGCTCTTATGCCCATGATCTTTCCTGGTGGGTCTCATCTATTTACCTTTAAACCTACAGATGCAATTTAAAAGCGCGCCTACTGATTTATCGAGACTCTCTTTCACTAGGTAAGATCTGGAAGTGATCTTTCTGTTTCAGTGGGGCCTCAGCACACCATCCTGGTTTCCAAAGCATGCTCTAGCTTCTCTCCCATTGAAACTTGTTCATTTCCCTGCCCAAACTTTTACAAACCATCCTTCATCCATACCCACAAAAGTTATATGCTTCCATTGGCTGAGTTTTATATTCCTCATCTGAAAAACTTCACCATCATCCTTGCGAATAAGAATATTGACACTCTCTAGGAAGATTTCTGCTATATCTTATACTTTAAGATGAACATGTTTTATATGCACAAAACCCAAAGGAGGACCCAAATTCACAATGCCACACTTTATTTAATAGCAAGGTAATAACTGAAATCATCTTCCTCAACCATTATAGTTTTTCTCACATATGTAGTAGAAGAAAAACAAACAAACAAACAGACAAACAAAAACAGTACTTTCTGGATTAGGAGCATATCTTTTATTACTGTTATATGTTTTTCCTTTTAAATATTTATTTATATATCTTTCTGTTTCCCTTAATAACTAAGGAAAGTTTTGCTTTAAGATATTCTAGGCATTTTCTTTTTCTTTCTTTTTTTTTAAAAAAAGATTTTATTTATTTTTTTTAGACATGGGAAGGGAGGGAGAAAGAAAGGGAGAGAAACATCAATGTGTAGTTGCATCTTGCACGCCCCCTTCTGGGGACCTGGCCCACAACCCAGGCATGCGCCCTGACTGGCGACCTTTTAGCTCCCAGGCTGGTGCTCAATCCAGAGACACACCAACCAGGGCACCGTTTTTATATATATTCCATTTGCTAAAGTGTATTGATTTCTAATTGCTACTTGTAACATTGACAATTAAATTTTCTGAACACTAAGTAAATATATTTCCTTAAAAATAGGTGACGAATTTAAGAAAAAAAAAGTGGTAAAATATGAAAACCATACAGCTAAAGGAATAAAAGGTCCATTTTCTTACATATTCTCAGTGTTATATAACTTTATTAGGTGAACTCCAGCTCTCCTTCTAGAATCAGAATAGGAAATTCATTTTATGGTGGTGTTTTTTTTTCAAACTATTCATGCAAATGAATACCTATTGATTTATTCAAGTTCCTTATTTAAGCAGCAATAGAAATATTTAGTTAGTTGTATACTAAGTCCTAAGAATGCTGAATTAATCCTTGAAAATGTACCAGAGATGGAACATATACTGACTGCTGTTAAATGTAATACTGCAAAAGAAAGCTTGGTAATACACAAGTGAGAAGCATTCATTTTCAATAAGAAATGGAGTGACAGAGAAGATTCAAATGTCTATCATTCTGCAATCACAGAAACTGTAGCAATAGTTAACCTATTATAAAACTAAAATAAAATAGAACTAAAGTAATGTAAATACCATCACTTTAATATCATCTGATACACAAAAACATAAGAAAATGACTCTATATATAATCACTGAAAACAGAATTCTTATGGTAGTTAAATGATATAAGAAAGAACATGGTGGCACATATGTCAAACACATATTAAATTACATTGTAATTTTCCTGTGTATTACTTTTTCAATTAATAAATTAGAGCAATATCCCAATTTATTGTGAATATTTTACTTTAATAGAAATCTATAGAATAAGGCTTATTGGTTTAATTTTTGACTCATTTATAGTATTTTGTATTGAAGTTACACTGTGCATGAGTCTAATGGAAAACCGAAATTTGAAGTCGTCTAGCTTTGATCCATACCTTCTACTTCTTAAATTAAAAAAAAAAAAAGAACCTATCTGGAAAACTATTAGAATTCCTGTAACATCTAATGAAATGTCAGAAAATTTTTTAAAAGTAGCACTAATTTAGATTCAACAGGAAAGAACATACTTTTGGGGAATCGAGGAGGATTGTCATTGACATCAGTGAGGGTGATGTTGACGATTGTCGTTCCGGCTAACCCTCCCAGTTGTCCGCCCATATCCTTGGCTTGGATGAGGACTTGGTATTGTTCTTTGACTTCCCTGTCCATGTTTGGCAAAGCTGTTCTAATGACACCTTCAAGGAAAAAAAAGAAAGATAAATATAAAAAATGCTGTATTTTCCAGAATAAAATAGCCTGCAACAAAAAAATGCTTCTACCTAGATTCACTAACAAAGACACAACAACAAATATTGTGTGTCTTTTAGAAAGCCAAATACCCAAAATATGGTTAGAACATAAAACATATTTTGGTAACAGCCATATAATGGAATATGGAATATAATTAAAGAACAACATATCAGCTCTAAAAGGTGGTCGTTGGTCATTAAGTCAGCCCAGACAGTTGTGATTTGTACAGAATGATCCTGTCTTTAAAAGAGGATAAAAATGTTAATCAATATGGATAAATAAATAAATATACATATATACACACACACACACTAAAAACATAAGTGATTACACTAAGTGAAAGATTTCTAAAGACTACCTTTTTCTTCATTCTTATTTTTTTAAGATAAATATATTACTTTACTGTTTAAAACATATTACGTATCTCAGTCATATGTTTTGTTTTTCAGGATTCCTCATAATTATTACAGGCACAGATTTTTGGCTTAGATCTCATCAGACTTTGCCATTGCAGGGACCTTGTCTCTCTTGTCACCAGGTCATTTGACTATCTTGGACAGTGCCTGCCATTTAGAAGTAATTCAGTAAGATCAACTGTCTAGTTGAAAGACTGAATAAATGAATGAATCTATAAATAATTAAATTTAAAATCATGAATCATATAGTATCAATGCATATATACATAGCCTATTTATTTTTGTTCTGTGTCCAATATAGAACTAATTTATATTTATATTTATTCATAGTGAAATAACTGAAACCTTCTGGATTTGTTGCATGTAAAATTATAAATAAATTTTATACTATATTCCAATCTATAGCCAATGGTTTTAGCATAAGATTGCAGAGGATTTGTCTTAAATCCATGTGTCTTTGATAGTGTTGTTTCTTAAATAAAGTAAGCACACAAAATATAACATCCAAATCATAAACTGAAAACAATCTCCACCTGGTTTTTACCTCTCAGTAGACATTTAGTTGCTATAATTTCCTCATTTTTGGACTATTCCTGTTAATCCTGTTGTCTAATTTGTCATGTCTAGAATGCAACAAACATGCCAGTTTGTCCAGCAGTGCCATCCTCTAACAACACCATTCTGTAGATAACATGTATGTACCTCCCAGGGACAGCCAGCTGCCTCAGACTTTGTAAAATCCCTCTTCCCTGCATTGAGACTCCCCTTTTTCTTTGCTTCTTTCTTCCTTTACCAGATAGAAAGACTCTATATGCCTGGGAATAGAGAATACTATGCTCCTTTGACATCATGAAGCAGTTACAGAAGATTAGACCTTCATATCTTACTCTTGTAAGGATACAAGGCTCTACGTCTTCAGAGGGGAATGTTACTGTAAGTATTTAACTGATTATTACTAGGAAAGGGGAAAAAAAGGAACTAAATAATAAGCTTAATAAAATGGAACACAGGAGCCAGTTGGCTTCACCAGGAAGCTATAGCTGTACACTCCAGGGTATCATAGCTTTGTTCTGGCAAGGTGATTGACACGCCTCCGTTCCCTCCCTCAAGTACCAGATTGTTAGGGGTCACAGACGGGAGGGGCTGGACCGATGAGCCTTGTTAGTTTATGAGTCTGGATGAATGTAGACCCATCAAAAGCATGCAAAAACTTGAGAACTTGAGTGGTCATTTTGAGAAAACATCTGGTCCATCCCAAGCCCAAGATCTTGGTTATAGCCCCAAGGAAACAAAGAACTCTCTCTCATATTTGCTGACTTGCACTGGCCCCACTCACTAGCATACCCTCGGCCTTAGCAGCCGCATGGCTATGGCCGTGGGGACTCCACCCTCAGGCTCTAGCAGGGAGCCTGAGTGCCTCCGCGCAGCCAGGTGGTGCAGCTGGGAACACACACGAGTCTATCTGGTTACTGGACTGGACTTCAATAGGGAGCGGAAACGCTGGGCAAGGGCCTTCGTGCTCCCCCTACTGAACACAAGACTGGATTTTCCCATGGTGATACGGATAGAGGTGGGACACTAAGACGTCAAGAGAGAAACCTCTTAATTTCACATCATTAATAAAATTCTCCACAAACCTCCCACTTCCTGTGTGGTTCTCAGGAAAATTTTTTCCTTATGATACCACAAGAACCCCACTTCCAGCAATAACATTCCCACTATCAACTTACCAAATGCTGTTTTGTTGTTAATTCCGATTTAACTACAGTCTAAGATATTTTCTAAACCTTGGCAGGAAATGTTGCAAAAAAGGCAAATTCCATTTTTTGCCACTGCTGTTTTATGCATGTGTTGGCTCTAACACCCTTTAATTTCAATCTGTTTTCCCTCTTTGGCTCCGTATCTTCACGTTTCAGTCTCAGTTCTCTTAACTACAGTTCTTCACCTCTGCATCTCAATGTCCCAATCATATATTCCTTAAGCTGTGTGACTTCTGTCTGACTTACAATGTTTATATTTTTAGATAAATGCCTGTGTTTAATTCATATGCATATTGCACTATACTGTTGTTAACCGGATCTGCCATTTATTTCCATTATGAAAAATGTGTGTGTGTGTGTGTATATATATATATTTGAGTAAAAATTATTACTCAATTTATTTCTAATATGAATAGTTCTAATATGAAAATATATAAATGTGTTATATATAAACTTTATACACACATAAATTAAGCTGTTATAAAAAAGAGAGCCAATAGGCATTATAAGGTTGATTTAAGGCTAGATTTTTTTTTCTTTTTCTGGCGGTTGGTTGCAATTGTCATCACCTCAAACTCCGCTGCCTTCTTGCTCCATCCTAAGTCTGGTAGGTGACCTATCTGCTTCTTCTGTCCCCCTGTCTAGTGCATTCCTGTCCAGTTGGAAGATGTGTTAGAATTTAGAGAGCAAACAGAGCCATATGTGTAGCTACTAAGAAAATCTCTACTGATGATTATGATGTGCTTCTGCATCCCTGCTCCATTATCTCTTAAAAACTCTGCCTCTGAGAAATAAAATGTAGCATTTGTAGAATTTAAACTGTTATGATTGAATCTGAAGACTCAGGTATAGTTTCAGTTTGAGTACACATTGAAGGCTATAGAATAAGCCTGAGTGAAGACAAACATACTTTTCAATAAGTAATTCTTCTTATGGGTACACATTGTTTTTTAAATTCCCTCACATTTAAAACCAAAAACACAAAAGTACATTTCATGATATGGAACAAAAAGGGATCTTGTTAAGGACTTGATTTGAGTGCTGGTAGAATGTAACCAGCAGTAGGTAATGCTACATTCTATTATTTCAGGTCTTAGGTTCCAGTTCATTTGTCCATCTAAATTTTTCAGTGTTTGTATACAAAGACAGAATGACAACCTTGGATGATAATAGCTGAAGCCTCGAAGGAAAAAAAAGACATGCTCTTTGTGGAACAGTATAAGTACTTCATAGAACTGATACTGCAAACGTTGATATGTTTCTGAAATAAATAGTATTATTGGAAAAAAAAGTAGATAGTCCTATATACATTGAGTCCTAGTATGATTTGAACGTTTTAAAGCTGATTAACTTTCCAACATATATAATATAATCAGAGTAAAAACAAGAATTAAAATATAGATTTTACTTCTGCCAAGATCAAAGAAAATATATGCCTGAGAGACTTATACATTTAAAATAATATGGCAAAGAACATTAGTCTGCCGGGGAATATAACCTCCCTCTGCAATCATCCCATGTTGTACACAAGACCCTACATCTTAGTGGATCCCACTTCTTTGGTAAAAGTGTGTTAAATATGATGATAACCATGTGAGATAATAATGCAATATTATGTATCAGAACTAAAATATTACATGTGGTAATCCAAGAATGGTTTTATATGAGCTATTTCTTGAATCGAGGGTAAGGGTTGAAGCGTGGGATTTTAGATTCAGTCAGCATTTGTACAAAAATGTTTCATTCAGGCAATGCTATTACATTTGAAGTTATAATAGTGAACATTCTTCTTTTTGGCTCCTCCAGATCCACTTTATACACTTTTCTAGATGTCTATCTGCTTTCTGGCTTCTGGTTGCCTTCCGCCAATTGACAGGGGATTGGGTGGTATAAGGAGAAAGAGATTGGACCTTTCTATCTGTGGATCTCCCCATCTCCTGTTATAGCCCCTCATCCCACAGGTGCATGTCTCTCTAAATCCCTCTCATTGTTTCAGCCCTAGTGTAGCAACCGTTGTTACTTGTGTTCCTTTTCCAGATTCTGCCCTAACCCCATGGTATCCCTACATTCTTGTCACACTTTAATAGAGAGCTTTCTTATTAAACGAATCTCAAATTGCCAATCAGGTGCCACCGTTTCCATAAGGGACAATAATTAATACAGTCTCTGTACAAGATTTGTTTTTGTGGAACGTACATCTAATAGCTATGTGCTCATGTGGAGTGGTAAGGAAGTCTTAAGGAAGTACTTAAATAATTAAGCTAATTTCAGATGGTAATTAGTACTATGAGGAAAAAGAAATCAAGTGCAATTGATGGAAAAGCTTTAGAGCTGCAATCTCATACGCGAATATAGATATACATATATAGCAGACCTGGAAAGAACGTAGGGTGGGCTATCCCAGGGAAGGAGAGCAGAGGAGCTCGGCCCTTCAGAGTGTCCAGGAAGAGCCAAGGGGGCTGCAGCTCACTGCTTTGGGGGAGGGCCGTATAGCGTTAGACCACAGTGGGTGAAAAATCACACAGTGCTTTTCAAAGAAAAATAAACCCTGCGGGAAGCATCTTGAAAATCATAAAGTGGGACTATATCACCCTAAAAGTCTTCTGAACAGCCAAAGAATCTGTCAACAAAATTAAAAGGCAAGCGATGGAATAGAAAATACCTGCAGATCATGTATTTGATAAGGGATTAATATCCAAAATATAAAAGGCACATACATTTCAATAACCAAAAAAAAAAAAGTTAAAAAATGGGCAAACTGAATACACT